ATATACATATATATATATATATATATATATTATATATATATATATATATATATATATATATATATATATATATATATATATATATATATATATATAAATATATATATATATATATATATATTATTATATATATATATTATATATTATATATATATGCGTATATTATATATATATATATATATATATATATATATATATATATTATAATATATATATACATATATATAATTAATATATATATATATATTGATAGAGAGATAGAGATAGATAGATGACACACACACTCACATATGTATTTACATGTGCGTGTGTGTTCCTTTTGATCATATATTAAACACCTCTCTTCTAATTTAGTAAAGAAAGACAAAATTAAAGTACTATAGTCAACTTAAATAATTCCTTATCATATAGCCTTTCTCTTTTTACTGCATTTTGTACATCATGCTCTTATAACAACGTAATGTACTTCATATAAACAAATTCGTTGAGAGACAAAGAGCTCACCCGAGAGGGAAATGGAATCAGTTTGCTGTTAAAAAAGGGTGGAACGGAGTCAGATTCACTAAAATTTCACTAATACCCGTTGCAATGACAAGAGCGAGGGGGAAATGGTGAAATTATAATTAATATTAATTCATATGTTGATAACGACACATTCACCAGTATTTCACAGAAAAAAAAAACGAAAAAACTACAAGGATCCTAAAAGCGAGGGGGAAATGGAATCATGCTCATAGGAATGAAGGGGGAAATGGAATCAAATTCACTAAAGTTTCCCTAAAAAACACTTCAAGAACCTTTGAAGAGGAAGAAATGAAATCTAGTTCTAAGAAGATAGTCAAATTTACTAAAAATTGGCTAAGAAAAAATGGAAGGAGCCAAAAGAGAGAGAGGGCATGGAATCAAATTACTGGAAAGAATGGGAAACAGATTCAATTCATTAGAATAAGTTGTTTTTTTAAAAACCCCATGAAACCGATTAAAGAAAAGAGAAGAGAGAGAGAGAGAGAGAGAGAGAGAGACAGAGAGAGAAGAGAGAGAGAGAGAGAGAGAGAGAGAGAGAGAGAGAGGAGAGAGAGGAGAGAGAGAGAGAGAGAGAGAGAGAGAGAGAGAGAGAGAGAAGAGAGAGAGAAAGAGAAAGAAAGAAAGAGAGAGAAAGAAAAGAAAGAGAGAGAGAAGAAAGAAAGAAAAAAAGAAAGAGCGAGAAAAAAAAAACAATGCTAAAAACAGAGTGAAACGGAGTCAGGCCGAACATCCCCATTTGCGAAAAAGAGAAAACTTGCTTCTTGTGCAAATGACCTTATCTGATAACAGAACCTAGACAGATGGTGACCGGGAAATCCCATTTGCGGTAACGAGGGAAGTAAGTGTAATTAGAAACATTAATTAGGGTGATCTAAGTGCAGAAGGGGTGAGATGTGATAGGTAATAAACGGAGGGATAGAGAGAAGCGATAAAACGCGATCGTAAAACAGGAAGGGTAAATATGAGAAGAGGGAGGAGGGAATACATGTGTGGAAATGTATTTCGTTTGGAAATACTAATGACAGGAATACAGTTGCTTATTCATGTGTTTGTCTATCTACCTGTCTATTTATCTACCTATATATATATGTATATATCTATATATCTATCTGCCTATCTATCTATGTACATATCTATACACACACAAATTGATACATATGTGTGTATACATAAAGCACACACACACACACACACACACGAACGCGCGCGCGCTAGATAGATAGAGAAATAAATTGGTAGGTATAGATAAATATTTCCACACACACACACGCTGGGGTTTGGAGGTAACGTTACTCTGTTAGGACCAAGAAAGGTCAATTGGCCACACCAAAATCTCTGAGACAGTGGATAAGAAGAAGTGTATCACGCTGGAGACTGTGGGTCATGACTCACGGAATATTGAGTTCTCGGAGAGGCTCACATGGTCTCTGTGGATCACGAGCTCAAATTTGTCCTCATGAAGCTGACTTGGGGACATAGTGTTCAAAATCGCTGATGAAGAGGGCGAACAGGATTAGATCTAGGACTAAGCCCTGGGGGACACCACTAATGACTAATGACTAATGAGCACGTCCCATCAAAAACAGCTGACCGAAAACCGTCACTGAGGAAGGACTAGAACCACCATATCATTTTGTGGATGAAGCATCTTAGGAGCTGGCGGTCAACCTTGTTAAATGCCGTAGCACAGTCAAGGTCCTTGGGGAGGTATCCTCATTCTTAACGAGGCCTTGTAGATATCATATATATATATATATATATATATATATATATATATATATATATATATATATATATATATATATATATATATATATATATGCTATTGTATGAGTCCTAACATATACGTAAGACAGCTGTGGCCTGATCTGAAACCATATTGATGGCCTGATAGGACCTGACTTCTGAAAAATACTTGAGCTTGATAACATGGGAGGCTAAAGACGCAGGGTGATAGTTGACAAGCTCAGCTCTGCTTCCCTGTTCACATAATATAATGTCGTAGGCCATCTTGTAGAAGTCGGATGACATGGACTCCTCCATGCCATGTATGTGTGTGTGTGTATATATAATATATATATATATATATATATATATATATATATATATATATATATAATATATATATATATATATATATATATATATGAATGGAAAATCACCCTACCGTGTAGAAAATCCAACAATGCACAAATTAGATTTATTGAAAAAAAATGAGAACAATTTTGGATTCCATCTACGGGTCTAGAATGTGCATTGTGTTTTTTATACCAATATATATATATATATATATATATATATATATATATATAGTATATTATATATATATATATATATATATATATATATATATATATATATGCCCTGCATGCCCTGACGAAGCATTAGCGAAAATGCCTTCGAAATATTCGTGTGTTTTCTTGTCCTACCCTTCATTGTTCCTGTTGTATATATATATATATATATATATATATATATATATATATATATATATATATATATATATATATATATATATTATATATGCATTTGTATATATTGTATATATATACACACACATATATACACCAGTCCACTTGTTTATCTGTTTATCTATCTGTTTATATGTAGATCTGTCTATCTATCTAACTCTCTGTCTTGCATGTATGTATCTATCTGTCTATTTATGTATCTAGCTTCAGCGAATACACATATACACACACACGCAATAAAACATGGCCTCAATGGGAGAAGAACATTGAATCGTGACGTTTTGGTTCCAATGGATTCATTCATTTCGGTTTTATGTTTGTAGTTTTGTTCGCCGACACATAAAGATAGACAGATAGATAGATATCACGTGCTAAGTCAGTGATTCCAGCCATTTCCCTTTGGTACGCTCCACTGGTTTTTCACAATGACCAGCCCCTTACCCCCTTACCCATTGATAGGGTCTCCCCTACCCCTTCCCTGTGTGTAAATAACAACCCTCGTGGAAGGAAATCCCCCTACCTATGTCCTACATATGATGAATAAGATCTCCTATAACTTATTTCTCCCTAAGTTGAAGACCTGGTCATATTCTTTCTTGATATATGATATTCCCACTTTCTCCTATTATATAATGACCTGTAGAAAAGCCCCAACCCCTCCCTGTATATAATATCCCCCTCCCCAGAAAAGCCCCTACCCTTTCCTTGTATATAATATTCCCTACCCCTTCCCTTTATAAAGCCTACCCCCCTGTAGAAAAGACCCTTCTACCCTATAGGAAACCCCTTTACCCATTCATATAGAAATGCCCTCCCCTACCCATTTGATGTAGACGTGACATCCCTACCCTTTCCCTATAGAAAAGATCCCACCCCCTCCCTTGAGAGAAGCCCCCTATATAGAAAAGACACTCCTGCCAATTCTTTGTAAAAAAAAAACCTTACCCCCTTCCCTATAGGAAAGCCCCTATAGAAAGAACACCCATACCCATTCCCTGTAGAACCCCCCCACCCTCCCCGTATCCACCCCCCCCAACCCGTAGACCCCCCCAACCCCCATCACCCCAACCCACCTTTTCCGAAGTCCACCGCCGGGGCCTCCTCCTCAGCCCCCTCCCCCGGGCCTTCCTCCCAGCCCTCGACCTCCCCCTGGATGCACGCCAGGTACGGGTTGGGCGTGGTGTCCGCCTGCGTCGAGAGCGTGGGCGTGGGCGTCGGAGAGGGCGTGGCCTGTTGCGGCAGGGGTCGGCCAGGGGCAGTGGGGGAGGAGGAGGGGGAGGGGGCGGTCGTGTCGCTGGCGTTGGCTCTCCCGGCGCCCGAGGACATCCGGGCCTCGTTGGCCACCACCTGCAAGGAAGGGCGGGTCAGGCGGCCGGCTGGGGCGGGCGGGCGTGTGGGCGTGTGCGGACAATGTAAGTACTGTATGTTTGTTGGCATGTATGTATGTATGGATTATATGTATGTATGTATGTGCGTGTATATATGTAAGAGTAGATGAATGTATATACATACATATATATATATAATATATATATATATATATATATATATATATATATATATATATATATATATATATATATATATATATATATATATATATATATATATATATATATATATATATATATATATATATATATATATATAATATATATATATATATATATATATGTGTGTGTGTGTGTGTGTGTGTGTGTGTGTGTGTGTGATATATAGATATATATATATATATATATATATATATATATATATATATATATATATATATATATATATATACATAGATAGATAGATAGATAGATAGATAGATACACAGATAGATAGACAGACAGATAGATAGATAGATAGATAGATAGATAGATAGATAGACAGATAGATAGATAGTTAGAAAGACTGATAGATAGATAGAAAGAGAGACAGAGACAGAGAGAGAGACACAGATAGATAGACAGACAGACAGACAGACAGACAGATATATGGATAGATGGGCAGATAGATATG